AAAGAGCCGCGTGAGCCGCGCGAGACCGCTCCTTGACGTTGGACGGCCGTCACTTTTGGTGGAGAGCTCTGATTCTTGCCATGCTGTCGCTCATTCACCAAATCGCCTCGCTGCATGTGCACGTTGGAGATCGGCGCGAAAGGGGCAGCCCTCTGATCTCTGCTCTTGGTCGGCGAGTGCCTACCTGCATTCGGGCTGACATTCTCGTCCCCTCTGCGCGAGTCCTTCTTTGGCGACGAACTTGAGGATGGCAGGCCGCTGCGGGGCACGACCACACCGGGCTGAAGCGGACCATCGAGATGCATCAAGCTGTGCAGATGGTTCATGGGCTCCTGCCTGGGCTGAGACCCGCGCGCCGGTGCACCGTTGCCAGAATTGACGTCGTAGCTGGCAGCACGCGTCATGGCGACGTTGTTGGCATCAAGCGCCGGAGCTACATTGGCGCTTATCAATGCATCGTGAATTGATCGAGCGCGCGAGTGGCTTCCGGAGACCTTGCCATGTGCTCGAGGTCCACGAATGGTGGAAGTGTCCTTCGGCTGGTGCGCAGACTGGCTATTGCTCTGCGCGCTGCGAGCCAATGGACTGATAGGGCTCAGAGGCTCGTCAAGTTGGCTCTTTGGCAAGTCGCAGCGCGACATGTTGGACTTTTTGGCCCACTCGGGCAGCGTCGGCACGTGTGAGCTCGACGAGTATTCTTGCGCGCTCTGCGTGACGCGCATGTCTGCTGAGGTGGGCGGCACGCCGGCCACATTTGCACCGAACCAGCTCTGCTTGCGTCTACGGCGGCCATCAGCGAGCGACTCTGCACTTCGTCGAGAACGTAGAAGAGGTGTGGAACCCGTCGGCGAGACACCTTGAGGGACATCGGCATCCCAGCTTACGGGTGAATCAGCCGTGGACGTGCTGGATGTCGAGCTGGGTGTCTGCACACTGGTATCGCGCTGATCTCGTGGTACCGGGTTGATGATTGCTGTGAGATCCAGAAAGTGAGGCTTGAGAGCGCGAACCTTTCCTTGTCTTCCGTTGGCGGAGCCGGGCGAGGTGCGTGACTGGGAGCCGCTCTTGCCTGCCCTGGCCGTGAGCTTCATGAAAATGCCGTCAAGAAATCTTTCGCGAACCCCGGGATCCAAGTCGGCATTGGTGATGTTGCGGTACTGTCGGTCAAACTCCACGGCACCCTCGCAGCCAAAGCTCGCGAGCGAAGCATTGTCACTGTCCACACTATTGGTGTGTTTGTGTTTTGAAGCCGCAGCTCTGTCGGCAAGGATCTTCTCAAAGTGTGAAGGACCGGGGGAAAGAAGGCCGGGTCGTCGGTTTCCCGCAGCACTTTGCGGAGCTACTTGCATCACGGCTGAAGAAGGCAAGCTGGACATCGGTGTGTATGGGAAGAGAACGCCTGAAGGAGGGGCGGGTGCCACGCTGTCATCGCTTCCGCCGACGTTCACGGAAGGCAAGTGTCCGTGAACGTTGGAAAACTTCGCTCGCATCCGCGACGTGGGAGAAGAAGGCTATTGAAGGGCAACATCCCGAGCTTTGATCAGTGCGGCCCAACAGTAGGCATAAAGAGCAGCGCAACGTACCGTCATCGCAGCTGCAAAGGCGCTGATACTTGGGCGTCGACTCCTGGCAGCTGTTCCGTTACCGTTGTGGTCTGGGGATGATCGAGGTGCTTGTCGACTACTGTCAGAGAAGCTCTTGATCTCCACACCAGCGCTCACAGCTGCCGGCTGTTGCGTGATGCTATGCAGCGAGGCCTTCGGGTTGACGTGACCCGAGGGCATGATCGTGACGCTGTTGGGGGGTCAGCTCCCTCAAAAGGAGCCTGAAGAGAGACAGCGCTATGGTTCTACTCGTGAGATGGTCGTCGAAAACGTTGGGATATCGAGGTACCGTCCTGTAGTATGTATCGATATTGAAGCACTGACTCGCAGTGACAGTGAACGCTAGGAAAATGAACGGCGGCAAGTGTTCTTGTCCAAGAGTGTTTCAAGCGACGTAAAAGGCAGGCTCTTGCATCGAGCTGCTTATAGAGGGGATGTCGATGCTAGTGCGGTATCCAGAATCCTCAGGTAGTGAGGTGAGGCCGTAAAATGTGACCTAAAGAGCGTCTCGCGTGAGTTTGTCGATTTGCAGAGCGGATTGAACAGTTCCGATCGGTTGGGTGGCGGGGCGTACACGATTCTCCGCCAGCCACAACAGACGCGCGCGCGGGTAATGCGCGTCGGGGTTGCAAGCTGTTGCAGAGTGAGCAGACGTGTGTGTACGGCGACCGCGCCAGGAATCGTCGCGGCTTATCGACGATGTTGGTCAACGTAGAGGATTGGTGTCCGAGCCTTGACCGTCAAATGAGATTCCGTCGGTGTTGAGACCTGACTGGAAGGTGCAAGTGGCGGTGGTGGATGCACGTATAAGAGTCAAATAGAAGAGATAGATGGAGGTAGAGTGAGAGAAGTAGGAGGCATGACGGAACCCTGGAAGTTCGGCTGGCGAGCCGGTGGTGCCGCACAGGTGGATGAGTGTCTCAGAGGGAAAGCATAGGCATGCGCAGGGCAGCGGACAGCAAGCCAGAGCAGAGCAGGACAGAGCAACACGCCTTTCAAGCCAGGGTCCAACGGCTCGACCGTTGAAAGGGTACCGACCGTTCCCACGCAGATTTCACCGCAAGAGAATTTAGGGCCGGATGGTCAAACTCGAAGCCTTGCTGGGCCTAGGATCGAAGCGCCTGGCAGTCTCTCGTGTCTCTACAGCACGCCTTGAGAGGGCCATGAACCAAGAGTTCAACGGTGACGGAAAAAATTCGCCGGAGGAGCTGAGAGCTGAGCGGTCGAAGTCAGCCAGCACGTCATTGAACAGGCGAGGGCGCACATGGTCAGAGGTTTGCCAGACACACAGTGTGAAAGGGGCAGTGGCCTACCTCGCCTGTAAAGCCACTTTGTCACAGCGGATCCACGTACGAAGGGCCTGCTTTGGGTAGCAGGGTGTCTACCGTTTCTCGCGCTAAACACCTGCACGCCGACCGTTGAGGCTCGTCCGCTAC